TTTATTATCTGCTAAAACCAGTTCTATTTTTATGTTATAGGTTTTAATTCACTGCTATTTTTCATTCATACCTTTACAAATCAATGTTTTATAGCCTTTCAATAGGTTGATTAATATTTCAATAAATTGCTACATAAACAAAGAAAAAAAAAAGTTTTGATGCACCAGATTTGTCCAAAATATATATTTGAGAAGTATTTGGTGAGTAATGAAATGTGGACTCATGCAGTAGTAAGGAAATGGGGATTCTATGACAGGAAGTGGCTTATTGCTTTTGATTTTTAATTGCTTCATTATTGGAGCTAATTTATTGCTTTTGGGTGGGGGAGTGACAGGTGTGTGACCTTTATTAGGAAAATGTGTGATTTTGGATCACGTATGAGACATTTATGATCGAAGGGTATAGATTTATGGCTGACCTTTTTTTTTTATTGTGGGTTGGCATGAGGTGGAGGATCACTCAGCAGCACTAGTGTGTGCGTACGTGATTGTGGTTTTAAGGAGGATATTGTGTGCGAGGCGTGTAACCTGTAACCTGCGTGTTAGAATCAAGTGGAAGATCAGCTAGCACTGTTGTGCATGTTCATGATTTGATTATTGAGGGTGGGTGCAATGATCAGTGGAAAGGTAATGGTCGCTTCTCTTTTGTCATTTTTTTGTCAATGCATAGAACTCATACGAGACCTCACACCTGAATGTTTTCCCACACAATAATTAAAGTATTATTGGTGTAAACTGTTGTTAAGTAGGTACTTCGCACGTACGTTTGCCACGTGCTGGTACCTTCTTCGTGTGTTTTGATATCCCCCTTGTACAGTGCACTCTGTTTGAGTGACCCTCCTTATGTTAATTTCACAATAATTTGAAATAATAGCATGCGCTGCCTTGTGAAACTGCGGGCTTCATATCTAGGTTTGTAGAGTTTAAAATGTTTAAATAAAATACTTTTTTTTCTAATTTTTATAATATATTTTATTTATTTATAAATAGAATGTATACAAATGTGAAAATTTGTCTATTCTTATTGATTAGGTTAATTTTAAGATACATGTGCTTTATGAAAGTGTATTATTATTATTATTATCCATTTTGCTTAACCTCTTTCTTAGGTTAGTGTATTGAAATATAAGACGATCCAGTTTTCTTTTATATGATACAAAGTAGGGACAAGCACATGTATCAAATCCTTCTCTGGCGTTATCCGAAGACCATGAGCCATGACCATGTCAAGTGCTTTCCATATTTTGATTTAATTAGACGATAGTTTTCATATTCCAAGAAAAATACTCGGTGTTCCTCCAACAATGTAGAATGTTCAGGGAAAATTACATCCTCAAACTCCTTGAGGAAATCATCAACTTTCCTTACATTTGTTTTAAATCCAAAATTTGAAATTAGACCCATTCTGTTGTGTATTCTCCAAAAGCAGAAATGCAACTGAAGAATTATTTTACTTTATTTATAAAGTGTCTATACTTGTGCAACTTTCTTTTGTAATACTTGTCTATACTGGTTTACATCTTTTTTTATTTCTTTTCCCATCTTTCTTGAAATTTCAAAGCATAAGCGTGTTAAATCACTTTCTGCTTCATGTCCATAAGACACATTTAAATCTAAAAGTTGTACATCATATTTCCCCATCTTTAAACATTTTGTGATAATATAATTATTATATATATATTACAAATTTGATTTTTTAAGCAGTGTGTTCCAACATAAAAATGACGTGAAAAATATCCCTAATCTTATGAAGGCTCTCCATGATTCACTATCAAATTCAATTTGATTTCCGTATTGATTTAAAATTAATATGCATTGCTTATCGGATTTTCTAATCTTAAAATGACACTTTATGCTCTCAATCTTGGGATTATCAATTATTGCATCAGGCATCAAGAACTCAAACTGTTCAAGCCTTAACTGGATATATTCCTTAAACGTCAGTAATTGAATCCATTCCTCTTTCCCATATCCAATGAAATTAGGTTTATGCTGCTGCATCCAAACCATTGGTGTAAATCGTCTCGTTGTTGAAAAGCCACACTTTAATTTTAGTTGTAGATTAACAAAATACTCGAAACCAAAAATGATTTCGTGATCTTGAATTTTTCTTGAATTTCTGGATTTTCTTAGTTGTCTCAACTAACCTGGGAATTGAATTCTGAACGCTATTTAAGGTGAAGAGTCTTGCTCATGCTTCTCAGTACATTATACACATTAGGCGCAAAATGATTATGATAGACAGGAGCTCGTGTGTTCTTCTTGACTTTCAGTATATATTTGGAAACGAGCAACAAATTTTTGTAAAGGAATTGGCCTTCATGCAAGCCGGATCAATCCTTCCGAATTTCTTTCACTTCAAGCCTCCTTATGATATAAAAGAGCTGGATGAAATAACAAGAAAAACCCTAAAAACAACTAAACAGTATGTCGATGGATTGGATTGGTGTGATGGCGACATTTCTTATTTAAGCCTTGGTGATATAGGAACGAGGTCGAGCAAAGAAACAGTTTTTAAGTAAATATTTAACTACAAAAATAGTTGATTTAGAACTAGATCAAAGTTTAAGACACTTTCAAAACTTTTTCACAAATTGTAGAATACATAAGAAAATAACAAACAATGTGCTCTAAACAATTTACTTAAACTATTTGTAATCTTAGAAAACTCTAATTTTGAAATATATGGAAATTAAAATTTGATTGTACCATTATGTTCCTAAATATAAACAAACTATAAAATCTTTAAGATTATAAATATTGAGTTTTCCTTTATTCAATTTAGCCAATGGGTTTACATCACATTTAAATTACAGATTATAATAAAATCTAATACAACTCGTGCGTTTCTTAGGGCACGTAGACCTTTATTTAGATGGGACCCACAATCGGAGAAAACATTTAATTTCATAATTTCATCATCTAATCGTGGACATCCAAAGTCTTCAATGTTGATTACACACGTCTTTAAAAACTTTTCAAGAAACTTTTTCTTTGTATCTCTCTTCGTGATTACCCTCATATCCTTGAGAAGCTTACGAAGATAGTTTCTGACTTCTAAAAAGCTATCATTTCCATCATTCCAACAGAGATTGTGCTGATTTCTAGTTACCCATATTGCCGTTTTACGGGCCTTCTTCGTTAGTCTAAGAAAATCATATGGCGGTCTTATAAGGTAATGAATATCATGATAATAACCATTCTTAAAAACAAGAGCAATTTCTTTTAATATAAAATTGTCGCAATTTCCAAAAAATCCTTGAATGTCGACAACTACTTGATTCTCCATCGAATTGATTTAAACAATGCGCTGAACTAATCCTGTTAATGGTGAATACCCAACTAACCGATCATGCATAAGCAGACAATATACTTTAGTGTTTCTCACACTAGCACTCTCCAACTCGATGGAAACTCTGATATCGATCGGTCCTGTTTTAACAGACTCATTCTGATGTGTTAGATCTATAACAACAATCGGTGCTTTTTCCTTAAATTCTTTAGGTGTTAACAACGGTTCAGACTGCATCATATAGTAACTTGCTTGGAAATTTGCATACATATCATACAAAGTTGCAAATCGTTCACGAGTAAAATTTATATTCAAATCATCATAGGGATAAGTTTCAGAGTTCAAGTACACTTTCAAGTTTCGCAATTGATTTTGAATCAATTTATTATCCAGTATAAAGGCTATTATAGCGAAACGGGGGCGTTCTCTATTGGCTGCAAGTTTTACATTCCACACATGATGAGTGCCTTCTGCTAGTGTTGGATTGAGATAACAATCCCAACTGCGGAATGCTAGTGGTAGTGAGGTCCGTTTTTTGTTATATTTAACATTAGTAATTTCTTCTCATCACTGAGAGTAATATGTAGTACTTTCCATGTAATATTAGTTATATTTAATTTATACTCAATTTATACTCAAAAGAAATATAGTTTTTTAAGGTTGTTGAAGTGCCAACAAATATAGTTCGCTCAATTTCAATTCCATTCAACTCGTATCGAATCTCATCAAAAAGGTAACTCATGTAATTGTTTTTCAGTTTACCACCTCTAGTAGGCGCATTATTAGCCAAAGATATCAAGCCCTCAATATTAATAAAACTCTCGCTCGGTAGCACATATAAGTCCTGATTCTGGATTGTGAATCTAACTTCATCATTACTCTTAAGTGATTGTAAATAAGAAGAGTAGCTATGATATTCTTTTTTGATTATACTCTCATCCGAATAGGGTTTCTCTCGAACAGTTAATAAATTAGTCATTGTTCTCTAATTCTTAAACCCAAAGACCTTAAAAAAAATTTGTTCTCTGCTGTAAGTGTTGTCCTTAACGACTTTCTTTCTTCTGCAGTATAACTCAAAGTGTTTGATAACGGAGGATAGCATACATTTTTATTGTAAATAATCATTTTCGCTCTCTTAAATGTAGGCGAAGTGTAACACTCTCATTACGTAAATTAACTACATTTCCGTCCTGATCAACAATTCGTATTTTTAACAACGTGTTCACTGCGAAATAAATAAGATTGTGAGGCTTCTCACACATTTTATAGCCTGGGGGGACATTTAATGCAAACTCATGCAATACATGACTTGATTTTGCATTAACATATGATCCGCTTACAATATTACATTCTATTCGAATTGTATTTACTTTTAAAATATCAACAGGCTGGTCTGAGATGTGTATCGTATAGAATTCGGTGTTAGTAATTTTTTATTAAACCCGAATATTTTGAATTAGTGGAAGCATTTCTTCAGCTGCTTCACTCAGAAACTCTATTGGTTCGACCAAATTTGTGTGATTACTCTCAAATGAGAATGTCGAAATCCGATTTTTGAATCCGCTCGAAATTAGTTTCACCTGACTATTTACAGGCGTAAAAACGAGCATCTTGTGGACATTGGAACGAAGATGCGCGCTCCACTTTGATGATGCAATTTGTATATTGCATGCGGTGCAGACCCTGGCTTGAGTTGGTACTCCATTACAGATGATATTGGAAGCGACGGAGTTGGTGTTATTGGTGGTGGTGACGGAGTTGATGTTGTTGGTGGTAGTGACGGAGTTGATGATGGGGCTGGTGTTGGTGGTGGTGGTGATGTTGGGATTGGTGATGATGTTGTTGTTGATGATGGAGATGGTAGGATTGGCGGGTATGCTTGGGTGGCTCTGTCCTTGAGCCGAGTTATTCCGGGCGACATAGTTGAATCCCTTGCCGGCGTTGACGGAGCTGTTCTTGTTGTTGAACATTTTTCTTTTTTTTAGGTTCTTTTAAAACTTTGAAACCACAAAGACACGAGTTGACGAATGCAGAGTTCGAAAACTACTAAGGTTTTAGAAATCAGAATCAATAATATTAGGTATGAAGCCCACAGGTGCACAAAGCAACGCAGGCTATTATTTTAAAGGTGCGCAAAGCAACGCAGGCTATTATTTCAAATTATTGTGAAATTAACATAAGGAGGGTCACTCAAACAGAGTGCACGGGGGAGATCAAAACACACGAAGAAGGTACCAGCACGTGGCAAACGTACGTGCGAAGTACCTACTTAACAACAGTTTACACCAATAATACTTTAATTATTGTGTGGGAAAACATTCAGGTGTGAGGTCTCGTATGAGTTCTATGCATTGACAAAAAAATGACAAAAGAGAAGCGACCATTACCTTTCCACTGATCATTGCACCCACCCTCAATAATCAAATCATGAACATGCACAACAGTGCAGTGCTAGCTGATCTTCCACTTGATTCTAACACGCAGGTTACAGGTTACACGCGTCGCACACAATATCCTCCTTAAAACCACAATCACGTACGCACACACTAGTGCTGCTGAGTGATCCTCCACCTCATGCCAACCCACAATAAAAAAAAAAGGTCAGCCATAAATCTATACCCTTCGATCATAAATGTCTCATACGTGATCCAAAATCACACATTTTCCTAATAAAGGTCACACACCTGTCACTCCCGCACCCAACAGCAATAAATTAGCTCCAATAATGAAGCAATTAAAAATCAAAAAAGGAAAAACCTGCTTCCTGTCATAGAATCCCCATTTCCCTACTACTCTTTCATACGCCAGTTTTGGGCAAAATAGATAATTGAGTTGCTTATTGAGTAAAGATGCGCCGGCTCCCAAGAGATGCAGCAGCACTCTTACGCCACCGTTGGCCACTCCCAAGAGGATGTGCCCGGAGGCCAAGGGCGCTGCTTGCGGCTCAGTGGCGGCGAGGGTGCCAGCCGAGAAGGTGGTAGAAAGCTTGGACCTCCGTCCGAGCACATCACGTACAACGGCCATAAAACCCAACTCGCCGACATCAACCGAACCTTGATTGTCATATGCAGATTTGGCGAAAATGGTAAAAGGGCTCAGCTAATTGGCTGAGAACCGTGGCGTCCCGGTTATAATCGTGGAAGGGCGTGCCCCTTGACTGCAAAGTGGGACACGATATACAGTCGCCCCATTGCATCACTAAGGCTATATCTAATGGTGGTTCGAGGTAATGGGCCGTACTAAGGTGTAATGCGACCCGTGCCGATAGTCAGCCAGGCTGGGGGCCCTAAAATAGCCCAGCCTTTTACGGAACATATCGGATAACTGGCGACCTCCGGTATTAATCAGCCTTACCTGTACATCGCGGATCTCTGTGCAGGCGGACATTCCTTTCTCCGCAGCTCGTGGGAATCAAAAATGCATACCAATCAACATAAAAAACCACAAAAGGAGTCCAGTACTTGGGCTAACAGGTTTACATATGCCGACCGAAGAAATGCCGCAAGCATTCTAAAGCGGCAGAATGCAAACACAGCGTCCAACCCACCAGCCGAATGGCAAAATAAGGTGGTCTGGGTCAGGAAGGAAGAGCAGAGCTAGGCAAAAAGGCAACGCTCCCAAGAAACCCACGGACCCGCTGCAAAGCGGGCCAAGGTGCAGCAGGGAAAGTCCTATGCTGACATTGCCAAGGAGAGAATCCTAATAGGGATCCTTGACAAGGGAAACAAGGACGGCAGAATCCCGAGAAATCAGTGGAAGTGGGAGGAAGGAGCCCTCGCTGTCCACTGCCTGAAACTATTGAGCAAGGCGCCTGGGCCACCACCGGTATGCAGAGATGCCGAGTGGTACCAGGGGAACACGAAAGTCATCGCCTGCCAAGATGCTCGCTCGGTAGAGCTGTATAAAGCTGCCGTAGCAGAGATTGGTGAGCTCTACACCGGGGCGAAGCTGGTCGCTGTTGACTGGAGCGAAGTCCCGAGTAGACCTCGTGCACGCATCTGGATCCCGGCCTCCTTAAAGGAACCGGACCAGGTGCTAAACCTTCTGCAGCTATGCAACCCCTCTCTTCCCACCCATGACTGGACGGTGGTGAAGATTGAGGCCACCGACGAGCCAACCAATCAGGCTGTGCTGATCCTGAACAAGGAATCGCTGGCCCATGTGTCATGAGTTGGACGAAGACGACTTCACGCTGTCGGACGAGGACGACAGCAACAACACGGTGGTGATGGTGGATTCGCCGGATGTCCTTGAGACTACGGCAGATAAACCTTCACCACAGTAAAGCAGCATCCGCTGCTCTGATGCTCCGCCTGGCTGGAGGCGGAGACGACATTGTACTTGTTCAAGAACCTTGGTTTGCGGACTAGGCAACAAAGCTTTTAGTAGCTGGCAATGAAGGTAAAAAACGCACCTGTATCCTCGCGAAAAAACACCTAAATATTTTACTGCTGCATAATTTTAGCAATGCTGACAACACAGCGGTAAGCCTGGAGCTCCAATCAGCTCCGGTAAGGCTACTGTCTGTCTATATGGCCTACGACAACGCCGGCCCGCCATCAGACGAGATTACAAGGTCCCTCGTCCAGGAGTGCGAGAAGCACAGGATTGGATATGGGCTGCGACGCCAATGCTCACCACACACAGTGGGAGAGTACGGATACAAATCTTAGGGGTGAGTCACTCTTATCCTTCATCTTTAATACTAACCTCCGAGTATGTAATACGGATAATGAACCCACTTTCATTATCAAAAATACACGAGAGGTCATTGACCTGACCCTCATCTCACAATCTATGAGTGACTAGTTAACAAATTGGAGAGTGTCCGATGACCACTCCTTCTCTGATCACAGGTACATAGAATTCGAGCTTCTCGCGAGCCACCTAGATCCAGTTCACTTCACAAATCAGAAGAAGACGAACTGGGAAATCTTCAAAGCCAAACTTGACCGAACCCTTTCGGAACACCCACCAAAAGGCCCGGACAAATTAGCTCATCTCTGCAATCTTTAGCTTGCAACAAGGCTTTTAAGGCAGCCTGCCCTATTAATAAGCCAATGCACAAGAAGAAACCACCATGGTGGACACCTTAACTAAATGTCCTTCGACAAAGTTGCAGGTCTCTCTTCAACGCGGCGAAATCCGCAAAGGAACCAAGCGAAGCAAACGAGGCTTGGCCTGTGCTGAGCCAGAGAGTGACACGCGAATCCTGACTTGGGGAACAAGGAAACCACTAGTCCTAGTGAGCATCAGGAGCTCGCTCCCAACTGACCAAGGACATCGATGTATGGCGAGACAACACGGAACGAACAGTCATTAAGCGAATAAAAGTGGAATCAAATAAAGCAAGTTTTAATATATATATAGACTGTGTTATTAATTGTTGCAAACGCAATAATACATTTTGTTACTCGAACCTGCAGCTCGACTGAGTTTTAGCTTAGCCAAAACACGACGAAGTAAATAGGTTCGTTACATTTCCTGGCCCATTTGAAGAGGGGATTGCGATATGCCGTCCATTCCGGGAGACGTATAGGACTGGAATGTACCAATTAACCAAATAAGTCTCTCCCTTGTGATTGTCGGCTTGACGTATGCCCAGTCGTCAGTTGACGGCCTATATCTGCTCTCCCTTTCGATTGCCTCTTCTTGCAGGGGTATGCTGCCTGGGAAATGCGTCTCGAAATGTAGTTCAAGTTTTAGCAAATTACTGCTCCTAAATGACTTATCCCTACACTTCAGTTCTAAGTTTGCATCAGGCGTTCGTTTCGCCAGTGCTCTATGGAGCCTGGCGCCTTCGCTTGTGCTAACTATGCTTTCGCAGAAGTATCTGTAATTCTTCCCTTTGGCCTTTCTTAGGCTTTCACGGAATTACTCCCATATTCCGTCTCTCTTTGTTTTATTCAAGAGGCGACGTGAGGGGGCTTCCTTTTCCATGTGCTTTTTCCCTAGCCATTATCCTCAAATGCATTTGTTACGCACTTGTTGAGGTCACCTATAGCCCTGTCCAGCTCTAGCGGGTTTCTGGGGATACCAGATAGCCCGTTGGCTAGGTAGAGCTCTAAGGTCGAGTTGTAGCATCCCAATTTTGAAAACCGCTGAAGCTGTCTTAGCACGATGGATGTTTACCTGAGCCAGCCCTGTGTCGATGACCTTGAACATCTACGACAGCTGAGGCTCCAACTGACACGGTGATTGGGGCCTGGAGTTGCCCCCGTCACCGCTGCTCGTCATGCCGACGTCAGCTACTGCTGCATCTGCAGCTCCTCCGCCAGCTCCTGTGAGGACATGGGGATGTGCTCGTCCCCAAGCATCTCTTCTTGGCCGAGCGTCACTTTAGCAAGCTCCTCATCCTCTGCGAGGTCCTCCGATAAGTCAGTGGGGTGCGCAGCGCGACTGCTCTGATCTGTGGCACGAGTGTCTACTGTGGTACTCATCCGCGCACTCAATGACCGGGAAACCAACCCGGAAATGAATGCCTGCGAATGAGACCGCAATGTCCCCACCAGACGCAATGACTTCGTCAATGATGGCAGTGATGAGCAGCACGGTGTGGAGGGTGGGCTACCACACGAGGAGGTCTTTCCCCGTAGGTCTCGACCCTCTAAATGTCTTGCGATATACTCCGCAGAGTACTTTTTGAATTTTTCATTCTGTTCCCACGAGCTGCGCAGAAAGATGTGTCCGCACGGGCAGAGATCCGCGTTGCCCGGGTAAGGCTAAATTAGAAAAGGCGGTCGTCATTTGCCTGAGCCCACCGTTCGAGACTGGGCTAGTTTATCTCCCAGGCCCCCGCCATGCTGACTCTCGGCACGGTTCAGATAACGCCTTAGTCCGACACGGAGTGAGATGTGGGGATAGGATGGGGTAAGTAATAGTGTGGGGAGAAAGGGGTTGGGTGAGGCAATACTTTAAAGGCGGCAACACAAGCGCCTTTTTGGTACGATTGACATTATCGCACCCGCTGTTTGTCCGGGACTGCTTATTTACGAGAAATCTCATATTATTCGCAGCTAACCTCCCCGGTGGGAGGTCAGCCCCATCCGAACCATTCCACAAGTTCAGGTAAGGTATTTTGAGTATTGGCTCGACTTTTGAAACAGAACTGCATTAAAAAAATATGACCAAACTCATATAATAAAGATATTAAGGGATATCCTTCAAAAAAATCGAAAATATGTTAAAAACATTAAATAGGGTCAACCTTTAACAGGCCATATCTTCGTCAAAAATTGTCAAATTTTAAATATTAACGTATTTTTAGAATTGTCTCGATTTTTGATTTTTAAAAATTGACTTCAGACTCATCTAAGATATTAATGGATATTCTTAAACAAAATTGAAAATATATTAAAAACATTAAATAGTGTCAACATTTTTTAGTGCTCAAAATACTCTTTTAATGCTATATAATTTTCAGCCAGAAAGAAGCAAAAAAATTTAAAAATTAAGCATTTTGGTGCTCTAAATCATTTTTTTAGTCCTGCTTATGTATATATGTATGTATGTATGTATGTCGCAAAATAAAGATTAGTATGTCTCAAGATACTGCTTCATATCCGTTTATCTCATTTCAGGCAATTTTGGGCATATTCAACCAAAAAAACAGCAAAATTGCAAAAATGGTTTAGTGCACAAAATACTGTTTTAGCGCTATTTAATTATTTTCAGAAAATTTCAAACATTTTCAACCAAAAAGAATCAAAAATTGCAATATCAAGCATTTTCGTGCTCAAAATAATTTTTTAATGCTATTTATATTATTTTCAGACAATTTCAAGCATTTTCAACCGAGCCGTTTGTGTTTCCGTGCTCAACAAATGTAGATCTGACCGCCTTGCTGCTCCTTGTGAATGCATCGCTATTCTCCTCGTTATTACAGCTGTAGCTGATGTTGTTGTGTGAGTAACAATAGTTATCGGAAGCGCTAAAATGTAAGCGAATACTGAAATCTTATCTGAAAGAACTATCGAATTATCGATAATAAATAATTACAAACAATCGTTTTTTTCTTCATATTATTTTTTTTTATATATATATATTTTTTTTTGACAATTATTCGATAATAGGCTAATTCTATTGTTACAATAGAAAATTATTATTATTAATTATTATGTAATTATTTTATGCACAAAAATCATATTTAACCAATTTTTAGTAAAAATCAACGAAAAAGAAAACATAATAAAATGATTAATTTTATACACAGGTACTTATTATATACAAAAAATCTAGGAATGTGCGCTTAATGACAATCTTACATTTCCGATGTAATTATGAATGTATATATATATATATATAGTTTATGTATATATATTTGTATATGTATATGTGTGATTATATAGGTGATTATGGAATGTAATCCTTTGGTTCTTTTGGGGAAGCAAAATTTGTATATATATTTTTTTTTGTTTTTTTTTTGTACATCTGTACAGATTGTGTTTATATATATGATATATAATGATGCCAAAATAATATCATATTAGCTTAGAGTGCATATGTTTTCTTTTTATTAAATATGTATTTGTTGGGGATAGTTCTGTTTGTAACGCTACTTTAATGTATAAATTCTCCTATATGAATAAGCATGATTTGTGTTTAGATTGAGCACATTTGTGTGTGTGTGTGAGTGTGTGTGTGTGTGTGAGTGTGTGTGTGAGTGTGTGTGTGTGTGTGAGTGTGTGTGTATGTGTGAGTGTGTGTGTGTGTGTGAGTGTGTGTGTGTGTGTGAGTATATAAGCATGTGTGTGTGTGTGAGAGTTAAGTGCCCATGGTCGGTTCCTGACGTATCTCCGATTTAAGCTTAACAAATTCCTTGGCAACCTCGTCGTTATTCCTTTGCGATAATATCCTTAAAATGGTCCAACCTGTCTCATCCATTTCGATGCGGCGCTGCAGAGGCAACCAGCATGCCACCGATCCCTGCTCAATATACAATAAAGTATATATATATAGTAAAAAAATTGACTATTAAATTAAATATTTATATACCTTTTCGGATATATCCTTGAGGGGTATCACTGCCACGCCCACGAGTCGATCGTCACGGGCGAAACAATAGTCCTTGACGCAAATATGCAGCTCGAAGAAATCCAATTGCTCCTCATTGCCAATGGCACTATTAAAAATAATAATAATAAAATAATAGTATCAGAATAAATAATTATTTAATTTATGAAATACAAATTTCAATTAAATTAAATACAATTAAAAATAAAATATTAAATATATAATCTAATATTATTTCTTTCTGTACTTAACTTTTATAAATAGGAATATAAATTAACACTAATCTTTCAAATAAAATATAGACATAGGTAAATATATAGTTCAATAGTACTCACAAACTGAAGGATTCATTGTATTTGGGCGACCAGTTGTTTGACTTCGATTTTGTTGCATACTTGCGCTTTTTGTCCTGTAGATGTGGTCCAATCAGATTTATCTCCACAAATGGCCTAAACATGCCAGAAGGTATTTGCCACTTCAGATCGTTGGCAGCCACAACTGAAAATGAATCAAGAAAAACAAAAAAAAAAAACTGTTAAATGAACTAGAAAATCGACTTGAGATCAAGCCGATACTATAAATAGGGTATATTCCATCTTAATGAAAGTTTATTAATAGTATATCTCAGAGCATATTTAAATTGGTAGCTTTGCCTTTTATTGGGTATCGATTTATATCGATAAGTGTATCAGTAAATGATTTGTGTCAGGTATAAGAACGCTTAAATTAAAGCTCTTTTTCAAAAAAAACGAATTTCTAAAAATTCAGATTTTATATTTTAGAAATATTTTCGATTATTAACAAATTTAGTTTTTCTAAATTTTAGAAAATTGTGCAGAAACTTGGAGCAAATACTGGTCTGTGCTCGCATCAATTTTAAGATAGACTCACCAAACGTGGAAGATAACTTGCTGGTAATCTTCTTCAAAGATCGGCATATACATTTTCGGACTACACCCGCCGCCCCAAGAACTTTGGCCCTGAAGTGCGCATTTCTTCCATAATTTGTAAGCAAGAAATTAAATTGGATAAAGTATATTACTGGTGACTCCCCTAAGAGCTCGATATAAAAAAATGGATGGCCACGCCCACTCCGCCTCCACAACACGATACACTTGCTAGTGTAAGTTGAAAAAAAGCCTACATCTTCCGTAATTTAAGAGCTACAGTTAGCAAACTTGAAAGGCAGATTACTAAGACCGTCCTACAACATTTTTTTTTCGGCCACGCCCATATCTTCGCTACAGCCACCATGTGCGACCTGTTATCAGCTGGTATTAGTGATGATATCAAAGTATCAAGGCAACGTTCTCTCTTGTTAGAAATATACTTGCTGAATTAGGTTGATTTTTCCGCTTTTTTTCTGATTACATGTATTATTTTTAGCTTTATGTGTGTGTATTACCTTTAACATTAACTTTGTGCTCTCCCGTGCCCGGATGCGAGAATAGATCGATTTGCACTGAAATCTCGCCCACACTTTCCTCAGCATTCTCAGGATCAACTGTAGAACAAAGATTTATTAGATTTGATTGATGCTGATTGATTGATTGATTGATTGATTACAGACCTTCGTGCACTTGGCTGGATATGAACGTCTTGATGAGTGTGTCTGTCATTTGGGTGTATAAGCTGAGCGCGTAGCGGAGACTTTGCAGCTCGGATGACTTCTCGAGGAAGGTCTTCTTTAGTCCATTGCCACCGGCATGGAAGTATTGTTTGATTGTGTCTAAGGCAACATCGAGTACGGCACATTGTTTGGGCGATAAATTCTTCTCCACCTCCTTTGATATGTCCATGACACCGCTAAGGGCACTTTTCACATCCTGCTTGCCGGCCATATGCGATTTGAACAAACGGCCCATATCTTCGATTTTTGCATTCGATGCCAGATTCTTTGCATTATCAGTTAGGTGCTTGAACATCATCTAAACATAATTATTCAATATTCAATTATTATCTTCATTTATATTTCAATAGATTCATCATTTAATGTAATTATTCATTCATTTATATTTATATTTAAATAGATTTATGATTTAATTATTATTTAATTAACATTTATAGTTCAAGATTTATAATGTAATTTAATTATTATATAATTATATATAATTTTATATATATATATATATATAATATATATATATATATATATATATATATATATATATATATATATATATATATTTATATTATATTTATATTTAATCAATTATTTATTGTTGAATTATTTAACTTACCGTCTTGTCATTCATTGGGGGCAGCACTATGGTCTTCTCCAGAATTCGCATAACAATCTTCCAGAGCTCCTTGAGCAGTCGTTTCAGCACCGTCTTCTCGCAGGACTGGGCGTACAGGGTCAAGGACCCGTCGAGTAGATCCATCAAAGGCCTCAGCACATCGTCTGCCTCAACGGCAACCGCATTCCTTTGCACAGCCTGATTTCCAGCTGTCAGAGGTCCACTTCCACCCTTGATCGAGAGTAGCATGTCGCCTAATTCCCGAACCGATTGTGTAATGCGTGGTTCCAAACTAGAAAAAAATAAAACAAAACAATTGAAAATAAATAAGCATCGACTGTGATATAAACTGGATTTATACAATTACAGATTACATTACATGCTTATATATTATAGATATTAAATATATTAATCTAGTTTTATTGCTCAAAACACTGTTGAATGAATTGTTAATATGTTTGATATACATAGCTTATTGTTAGTTTTAATTACTTATCCGCATTATGTTAAATGCACTTTGAGCTGCAGCAGCCGGCGTTAGCAGCGCTCTCATTGTACAGCACTCTCTTTGTGCAGCGCTCTCTCTCTCTCTCTCTCTCTCTCTCTCTCTCTCTCTCTCTCTCTCTCTCTCTCTCTCTCTCTCTCTCTCTCTCTCCTCTCTCTCTCTCTCTCTCTCTCTCTCTCTCTCTCGAGATAAAGTGCGTTCGCTGATCGGCCGGCTGCTGCAGCTAATCAGTTGATTCGCATAGCTCTAGCTTATCGATCGGTTTTAGCTATTTTCGTTGTGAGAAGGTTTAGGTTCATTGTCGGTAATCGGTCGTCAGTTACTATTGTTGCGAAAGGTTTAGCAATTGGCTTCAAACCTTTAATAAACAAAGTGTTGTTGAAAAGACTAAACATTTGGCTTCTAGTCTAAATGCGTTCAATAAAGTTTATAACGTGCAATTATCTTCGAGTTATTAATTGGAAAATAAAGCTATCCAAAATCTGATAGCGCAAACAAACACGTTAAAAACGTTTTGCACAGTTAAATTGTAGAAAATAATTAAATAATAAATAATTCATAAATAAATAGTAAATATATATTTATAAATAGTTTGATTGTAAAGTTGTGGATCTTGCCTTATAGCAAACTGCGTGGCAAGATCATCCAAGGCGGAGTTGAGGTTCTGCTGCAGCTCCTTGAGAATGTTGGCAGCATCCTCCTCCAGCTTATCGCCGCCCATCGACTCGAACATCTTCTCCAATTGAACCCGCAACTGCTGTATGTTGTTCATCAGAATGCAGGCCTGGATAAATAGCAAGATAATTCAGTTGTTTCTTATTATTATTTATTTTTTAATGTGAGCAAAGAGCGGCATTCTAGATAATTTATAAAAAAAAATTAAATCTAAATTTATGCATTACTCTTTTTTCGTTTCTTTTTTTTATTTTATTTATTTTTTAAATATATTTTATTTATTTTTAATATAATACGTTTTTAAATTAGTTAGCATTTATCATTCATCGATTTATTAGATTATCTATGTGATTTTTTTATATCACTTTGTTAATTTATTTAAACTATAATTACTATTTATTATTATTTTTTAATATGCAGACCATCTTTTATAGATTGCATTTATTACTTATGCGACGAATTGGATATCTTAGCATGTGCCTAAGTTTATAAATTAAAAAATTATTTATTTTATTTTTTATTTTCATTGCGACTTTTTAATTTTAGGCAGGCCAGCCTCTAATTGGCATTTATTATTTATACAATTGATTAGATATGTATGTGATTTTTAAATTAAATATTATTATTTCTTTTGTAAATAGCAATATAAATATATATATATTTTTTTGGTTTTTGTAAAAGTGCCTGGGAAGAGTATATAGCATCGTTGTACTTACAATTCGTTCGTCCCTCATATGCTCTGGGAACTCCATTTTCACAATATCAGCATAGGCAATGAGTACTTTAACGATAGTTTTAGCAAAACGCCTCATGTAACGTTTCCAAATTTCTGGATCTGGACACTCGAGTTTGCTAACAACATCGAAGCACTGCGTCAATTGTGTGAAAACATCGACAACCGAATTGGAGAACAAAGCGTGTTCACTGCTCTTTTGAAACTAATTAAATCGAATATACAAATATATAATGAAAATGGCAATAGTCATCAGAGTTTCAGAGAGAGTGAGAAAGAGAGAGAGACACATATATAGATTGAGACAGAGAGGCGGAGAGCATTTGCATAGTCCGAGAATGTTGAAGATATATAGATAACTATATAAATATGTAATAAATAAATATTTACCCATATAGATATTAAGATAAATGAATTTATAAATTATATAATTAAATAAATAGATATTAAAATAAATAAATGTATAACTTTATAAATAAATAAATATTTAAATAAGTAAATAAATGAATGTTTATATATATATAGATATTAAAATAATTGAATTTATAAATATGTGAATAAATAAATATTTACATATATATACAGGTATTAAAATAAATAAATAAATGCATAAATATATAGATATATAGATAAATACACACATATAAATATATAGTATGTAACTGTATTTTATTTTGAGCTTACTCCATCCTTTTTGTCACGATTGAAGGCACCGTGCAGATATTCGAGGGAGACATCGTCGTTCTCGTTGAGCCACTGCATGACGAAGGGTTCGAACCAGGCGGGATATTCGGGCACCGCCCCCTTGTAGGGTGGCACCTCTTTCACGTAATTGCTGTACAGCCATTTGACACGAAAGTGCAGATTCATGTAGGCCGATGACTTGCACAAGCGATGCTGCTCATGTTCCTCCAATGCGTACTTCATGTCCACGGCGAACAAGCCCCACATCGTCGCAGCCGATAACTAAAATCGAAGAAATTATTAAAAGCTCTCGGTATCGCCTTCGTGTTCGTGTTTATTATTCGCTGGCGCCTAATTCGAAGTTTGTATTCGAATTCGTGAGCTGAGCGCCGCTATGTGTGTATGTGTATGTTTCGATTTTTTTTTGCAATTCTTTCAAATATGAATTTATAATATATATTGTTTAGTATTCCCTCCATAAATCAAAGTTAAATTAAAATTAAAGTATTAAAAAAAAAAAAATTATTAATTCAAATAAAACATTAAACGTTAAAAAATGTTTTATAATATATAGTTATAAATAATATAATATAAAATGATATATAGATATTAAAATATAATAAAATAAGAAAATATAAGCAAATTATAAATATTTCTTATTTGTTTTTAAACTGCACATAAAATATGAAAATAAATATAACAATAAATCATAGAATATATTTACATATACCTGTCCGATATTCAGTTCTTGTGGGAATTGATTGAGGACAGTGCCGTAACTGTTCTTGTCCTCATCGATCACGGATACGATGAGAGCGATCAGCTTGTGCCAGAAGTCGACGCTGTCCAGCTTTGGTCCGTGGTCGTCGGTATCCCGTTTGGCCTCGTTTGGATCAACCTGCGAGCAAAGTAATTGCAAGTAATTCAAAGCAATTGCATGTAATTGTGTACCTGAAACTCCCTGTTGTAGAGCTCGTAGCAGTTCTCGAATAGGAATTGATAAGTGGATCTAAGACAGGCTTTGACGCAATCCTTGACAACCGTGCTCGCTCTCGGTGGACTCGATAATTCTTGAACCTATTCGATAAATCGATTATTTGACTTAAATATTAATGCGCCATTACTCACCTTCATGCGGAAGAATGTTATGGAGGTCAATAGGTCAACAGTTGACTTGAGATCCATGAGTTTCTCCTGGCTGGATGCGGGAAAATTATTCCGATACATCGATAGATCGATGCGCAACGAGTTATGCAGCTGATCCAACAACTTGACAAACTTTTCCTTCTGCAAAAGTTAATGGAAATATTGAGAAGCTGCTATTGTTTTAATAACCTATCGATTTTCGATCGATATGCTTTGAGATATAGAACATTTAATACTTATACTTGTTGACTTCGGTGAAACTATAAACTAAGCTGATAAGTAAATGATAAGTGATTTTATGTTATGGTTTGGTATTTCGATATTTATCGATAGGCAATATATTTAAGCAAACGAAACAAATTGCCAGCGTAGAGAAAAATACTAGAACACTAGATAAGTAGCTGGGGTTAAAAATGGGTAATACGTACTCCAAAATTGCTAGCCGCAAATCGATCGCTGGCCGATACAGCCGAGGAGGCAGTCGTATGCGCATAATAGGCATTTATGTTGGCCAGCAGGGTGCTCATCACAGCCGGCACGCCGGGACACAGATATTTCGCCGACAGACAGTGGAAATGGGTCATCGCCTGATATATATTCTCGATGCCATATCGCATCGAGAACTCGTCGACAATTTCCTCGGGAATCTCGTCAAAGTACAGCTTCCACGCATCGTCACCTTTTTGCGTGGGCAGCTTGACCTGTCAAATAAAATAAAACATATAGATAATACACTTGCGACTAAAATAATAGCAACACTCTCTCAACAATAGCTGACTTTTTCAGTTTGTATTTTAAGTAATTTGTAATTGATAAATACGTTTTAAATAGTTCAAAAATACTTTTTAAAAAAATTGCATTGAAATTAAAAATTATAACTTAAATAAAATAATAAACTCACTTTGGCAAATATGCACTTAATAATTTTGAAAATTATAAATATAAATATATAAAAAAGTATAATTTTAATAATAAAAAAGTATGATATATAAAAAAGTATCATTTTATGCAGTTTTATTTATTTTATTAATTTATTTATTTAATTAATGTCAACTAAAGTCAGTCGACAGAATAAATACGAATTGAATTAAATTATATATAACATAAAGTTTAAAATCATTAAAAAATTTAAAAATAAGAAATTTTTTGATTTTGATTTCGGGGGGTATTTAAATGCAAAATGGTCCAACATTTGTTGCATTAATTGGGGAACACCCAGAAAAAACCCAATTACACAAGTTTAATTTGATGATAAAGGTAGAAAATGAATTCATAAAATTAATGCAGCTTTTTGGCAATAATAATAAATAATAATAATAATTATAATTATAATAATATTATTAGTTATATCGTTATTATATTATATATTATATAATAACACAACAAATAATAATAATTATAATTATGCAAATTATAATTAATTAAACGAATTCTAACTATTCGTTACTTTGACACTTTTTCCTTTAAATTAAAAAAAAAAAAACAGTTTAAATATATATACCATGTGTCTTACCATGCCGCAGTTCTCCTCGCAGAGATAGTGGAAGAGGTTCTCGTGGAGGCAGGTATACTGCACGTGATAGGGTGCCACCTTCTCCTCGCCCTTGATCTCGACGGAGATATGCAAACGAATGGCGCCGGATACGGCCGATTTATCCGTACGTTTCTCCAGATTATACCACACATCCATCTCGCCGGACAGCGTACGGACTTCAATAATGGTTTGACCCAGAAAATCATCCGATTCGCGTGTCAATTTCTGTCGCAATTTCGATTTCAAATCATTATCCTCATCCCAAACGCGCACTTTTATGCGATCCGAAGAGTTGTGGCACTCACTGATTTTATATTTGTACATATAGCGTATATATATATATAAAGATATTTAGTATTCAATGTCAAACAGTGTGGTGTGCTGGCAACCCTAATAATATATATTGTATGACATGCATGGACATTAGATAATAAATTAGACTCGATAATTAATTAATTAAGAGTTTTGTGCATTTTTTTGTATATTTAATAATTATATTTGATTTGAAAGGAATACAAACAAATGTGTATTTAAAAATACCTCGCAATTTTTACTTGGCCATCAGACGTTGTGTGGCAATCCCAGAGAATTGTTTCTCAAAATACAGCCAAGGTTTCATGCAAGAATTGGGTTCATTCAATAAATCTAGCTCTAAAGTTCCCCCCCATAATAATATTAATAATAATTTATATATGCATTTTAAGCATTAAATTCTATCGATAATTATTAAATTTGTTTCACATACACACATAAAATAACATAAAAAATTATTATGCCCATTTACAAAATCAAAATCATATTTATTTCAGGTATAATAATAATAATAAATGAATACTCTGAGTTCTCGCAGCTCGCAATTATACCTAAAAAGGATTCTTTAAATTTGTTTCAGTGTTTTCTTTTAATTTTCGAAACTCTAGCAAAGTAGTGGAGTGGAAAGCTTAATCTTTATGACTTATTTTTTAAATTTTAGAGTTTTCTTTAAATAATAATTCTTCTACTTTTTACAAAATATTACTTCTTAAAACATTTCTATAAAATAGCAAAGAATTATTTCTAACTTTGCGAAATTCGCAGCCACGTTGATTAATTTTGCATTTTTGAAATGATTTTCTTACTTCAGAAATGCGATTTAGAAAATCTTTTCTCAGTAATAGATAATAATAAAATTGAAAATCTTTTATCTTTTTCTTTCTTTTGTTTAATATTATTATTAAAATTGTCTGGGAATTTTTTAAATTTTTAGAAATTATTGCGAAAGTCCCGAAAATTGGTCTAGTCTTCATGACACTTATTTGTTTTTTCTGAGTGTAGAAAAAAAGCAGCTGTTACAGATACAGCAATTATCAAAACGAGCAGCTTCAAATTGAGGTTTTGTAGCAGTGAGCAATGGAAAACCTTTAGCTTCGCTCGCAAAAGCTCCGCTCTCCCAAAGCTTAAGCTCTCTCTCTCGATGAGTGCAATCAATCGAAGCGTTCTGGGAAGGGTTTGTGCAGAAGAAGAGAGCGAGAGAGCGCACGAAAAACGACAAAGGCGACAAGAAGAAAAACAAAACAAGTTGTTGGCTCTCACACAGAACCAAGCAACCGAAATGGATTGATAAATATAAATAAAGCTAATTATTTACAAATAGACAAAAGTAGTAGTTGATTTAGTAGTAGAGAAAGTGCGTAGAACTTTAGATGAAAGTAGTAGAACTTTAGGTGTGTAAAAAATACAGTTAGACAATCTGTGATTGAGCAGTTGGTGGGGGACTCAACACAACAGCGGAAACTAGTAGTAGTTGAATTGGTAGTAGAATTGTAAGGAATAGGAGTAGTAGTAGTAGTGTTGGTTGTAGTAGTAGTAGTAATGGTAGTGGTACAATTAGTAGTGGGGAAAATACTCACAAGTGAAACTTCTCGTTCCACACAGGGTTTAGCTCCTGGGGCATTGTGCGCGTTCTCTTTTTCACCTTGCTAACCTGCACCGTCACATATGGATCACTCGTACCGCTTTTATCCTTCGCTATCAGGCCTTGAGCACAAATCACTGCACACATCGAATTTCGATTTCCAATTCGAATTCGAATTTTGTTAAGTTTTTGTTTTTTTTTGCGATTTTTGATTTTCGTTTTTTTATTCGTTTCAAAACCAGAACCCCCAAAGAGAAAGTGTATATATGTTTAATTTGTGCAGTTTTATTTTTGGGTGTAGCATATTTAGTTTGTGTGCGTTTATTTTTGTTTAGGCATAAGTGTATTTTTTGTGAATCGAGTTTTATTGTGTTGAGTGTATGTTAAATATTTTTGTGTGCATGTTTTATTTTTTATGTGTGCAGTTTTTTTGGTTTTGGGTGAAAATTTATTTTTGTTGGGTGTGTGTATTTTTTTATTTGTAGGTTTTTGCGTTGAGGTTTGAAACGAACATAAATGTTATGAGAGCGATTTTTTGTTTTTATTGTTATACAGTTCCAATTGGGTTTTTTCATTCGATTTGTTTTTCGTTTTGTTGTTGTTCAGTTTTGTTTATCAAGGGAGAAAGAAGAAGAGAAAAAAACGGAAGTTTTTTGGGTTTTAATTAAAGAAACTGAGCTCGCAATAAAAGTTGGAAATCAGTTCAGATCAGTTAGATCGACTGATTGACACATTTACTACGGAGTGTGTAAGCTAAATTTAAATTGCAACGGCACAAATATCGTGTGAAAATTAGTTGGTTAATTAATTATTTATATATAGATATATATATACAGAAAAAACACATTTATGCATACACAGTACAAAAAGTGGACAATTAACAAACTAAATAGCACACACACAAAACACACACACATTAAAACTAAACAATTATAATAATAATAATAAGTTTCCTCGAAACGTGCAAGTTAACATTAAATGTTGTTGTATTTGTTACGTGTGCATAGCAGCGAGCTGCAATAGAAAAGCTGAAAAGCCTAACAAACAGCTTTAAGCCATACATGTCCAGGCTCTAGCTCTGTTCAAGAACCAACAACAACATATTCGATTGCTAAAGCTCTTTGCTGTGCGCGTTTGAAGTTTGAAACACATTAATTATGATATATACAAATTAGTTATAGAAAGTAAGTAGAGTAGGTAAAGAGTGAGTAGTGTGATTAGAAGGCTATGGGAAGCTCAGTTGATCGTGTTTGTTTTTTTTTTTTACAGTGTGTGTTTCTGGGCCTTGGCATAAGCTGACTGCTACACAAATAGATTAGCTGTAAAAAGACGACAGCTTCAGCTCTTTCAAACCTGGGGATATTTTTTTAAAATTGATTAGAATTTTATTTCCATAATATATTTATATTATTACAAAATTATATTTGATGTGTCCATAATATATATATATATATATATATATATTAGTTGCTCAATTATGTCGAGCACGGACAAGGAATTTAAAATATATAAAGCGAAATAGGTTTTTATTTAATTCCTATCTCATCTAAAATTGTTTAACTATTTAATTCTCATCTATAATTAAGTTCCAAATAAACTTTAAGTTTTTATTTAATTCTCAACCCGATTGGACAATAAATTTTCTAAAAAAAAACGATATAAGTAATGTCCAAAAAATGTGTTATTTAATTTATCTAAGAATCCAATGGAAATTTCCGAATGTTTGGAAGAGCCCAAAGGCAAAATACGAAAGGAAGATAAGAAGAAAGAAACGTCAGACAAATCGTAGAATTCATTTGATCCAGAGTAGGAGAAAAAAATGTGACAACGTTTAGTGAAGAGAGAAGCAGAAGAAGAATTGCAGCAACAATACTAGTATTAGTTTAGTCATAGGTACAAGTATAATATTAGTATAAATACAAGTATAAGAGTAGGTATTAGAATTAGTATAAGTATTAATATAAGTTTTAAATTTTAGTTTTAATTTTAATTACGATTACAATAGTAAATATAGTGAAGCGAAAAAAAGAAGTGAATTTTTAATGTATTATTTATGGTGTTTTATGGACATGTGTTGTACTGTTATACGATCCACAGAGCAACACACATAAGTTATATTTCGACCGACTGGCAAAATGCATACATTTAAGTAATTGAGCAAACACTCAATTTTTTCTCAGTGTATGGAAAGTAAAGTTTTAAAAGTTGTACTCATAGTATATACACAGTCTTATCAAATATTTATATTTATTAGATATAACAAGTGGGAACGCCATAATCTGTACGACTATTGCCGACATCCTTTCAATTTATATTGTTTTTTAATATTTATTAAGAATAATATTAAATAATACAAATCTACCAGAAAAATTCATATATTTTCCTATATATATATATATATATGATATAAAAACAATAACGAATGAATATAAAAAAAAATATGTAAATAAAATAAAAAAATAATGAATTTTAATATTTATTGTTTTAAATATTTATATTTAATAATAAAAATTTAACTGTTAATAAATGTTAAAAAAATACCAGAAAGAATTCATAAATATTTATATATCTATAAATATATATATATATAAGAAATAAATAAACATAAACAATATATAAATTAAATCCTGTGAAAAATATATAATTAATAAATTAAAAAATTAAATTTAAAATTAATAAATATCTATCTAGTAAATATATATATATGTATAATAATAATTATTTGGATTTGACTAACTTTATGCTTATTCTTATATACTTTTATTAAATATTATTCATATTTATATATTTTAATAATTCGATTGATTTACACATATCGATAGATATGTTTATCGGGGGGCGATCGCACTTGTTATCGGTCTAAAGATTGGATTTTCTGTGCGTAACTATGTAAGAAACATCTGAAAGGGAGGCATTTAAACCATTTTGTATGACAATAATGATTTAGTGTGTTTTACTTAAGATGTTTTAGTCTTAAACAGAGTATTGTTGTCAAAAAGTGCGCATGTGTGGGCGTGTGTATGTGATATAAGAAAGAAAATCAAGTTTGTATTATTCACATAAATTATTTGCATAAAAACGTTTTTTTTTATTTTTGTATTTGTTTATGAAAATATTTACAAAAGCAAATTTAGTCGATAAACTAGACAGAGCCCACACTCAAGTGGGTGTTTTAAGGGGTAGATTCTAGATAGACTTGTTTTTGAGCAGGGATATGTATTCTCCAAGAGGGGGGGTGTAAGAAAAAGTTGACATGCTTAAATTATTCAGATTGAGATTTAATTTGAGTTGTAGATTGGTTCAAAATTGAAATATTAATTCGCAGTTGTTGTATGCTCATTGATATGCAATATCGATATCGATAAATGTATGTTTAGAACACATGCTTTTGGGGCAATCGGTTCGGAATTTATGTGAATATACTACTATATCGTGTAGTTAAAGTGGCAAATCGAAGCAAAGAAAACCCGCTAAAAAAAAAAACAAAATAAAAACTGAAAATTAAATTAAAAATATATAAATTACACATATAAGTAGCACTGCTATAGTCGAATGCGATTGACGAGCAGATACCCTGTACCCAGCTCAAAAAAGAGGTCTAACATTTATTTATATATTTTAATATAAAAATATACAAAAAGTAAAAAAAAAAAACAGATTAGAATCAATTAAAACTAAAATTTTAAATTTAAACCAAAAAAATAAAAAAAATATAATTATAAGATTTATGAGAGCTCTATAAACTATCTATTGTTATAATTTATTTATTTATTAATGAAGTGCTGTCTACAAAAAGTAGAACATAAATTAAATTCAATTCAAAATAAAATTTAATATTTAAATTTAAATAAAAAAAAGAAATATTTAAATTAATTTTTAAAAATAAGTGTCTTTAGAACTTGTATGATGGTTCGGATGGGGCTGAGCTGAGGCCACCAGGCGGGTCGCGGTTTGCGGATAGCGAATGGCCTCCCCCCGGTGAGGTTAGCTGCGAATAATACGAGATTCCTCGTAAATAAGCAGTCCCGGACAAACAACGGGTGCGATATTGTCGATCGTACCGACAAGGCGCTTGTGTTGCCGCCTTTAAAGTATAGCCTCGCACAACCCCCTATCTCCCCTCACAATTACCTACCCCATCCTATCCCCCACATCTCACTCCAGGCCGGACTAAGGCGTTATCCGAACCGTGCCGAGAGTCAGCTTGGCTGGGACTCCGGGGAAAAAACTAGCCCAGTCTCGAACGGTGGGCTCAGGCAAATGGCGACCACCTGTTCTAATTTAGCCTTATCCGGGTAATGCGGATCTCTGCGGAGTATATCGCAAGACACCTAGAGGGTCGTTCCCTAGACGGGGAAAGACCCTCTCATGTGGTAGACCAACCTCCACACCGTGCTGCTCCAGCACCAAACAGGAGAGTGCCGCAGTCACAACAAACTCCGGCTTTGAGACATGGGAGAGTGATGGTCGGACCACCCCGACCACCACGCCCAGCAACGAACGCTGCGAGGCAGGGCGCACAGCGCCCTAAGAGAAAGAAAGAGTTCCGAGGGGTCAACCCGGTGGGCTGGATGAACCGAACCGGAAAAATCTCTGCGGTTCAAGGGTCAAGTGGTACCTTCAGTACCTCCAGTACCTCCAGCAAGGACTCACTCCTGATGCTGCCCTGAAGAAGGCCACAGAGCCCAGGGAAGCGGCTACGGCACCAGCGCCAGCTTCCAAGAGGCGTAGCAGCGCACTCACTCCAAGCGGGTGTGCCCGGAGGCCAAGGGTGCTGCTCACGGCCCTAAGGCCGCGAAGGTGACGGCCGAAAAGGGAGCAGGCTAGGACCTCCGTCCGCGCAGCGGCCACGAAGCCCAGCTCGCCAGCACCCACCGAGCCCCGACTGTCATATGCGGATATGGCAAGAAAGGTAAAGGTGGCCGTGTTGCCTGTGGATTTCCCACGAGCAATGCTCATTCGCGGGCATTCATTTCCGGGTCGGTTTCCTAGTCATTGAGTGCTTAGATGAGGCCTCAGCCGACTGGCTGAGAACCGCAGCGTCGCGGCTAAAATCGTGGAAGGGCGTGCCCCTTGAATGCAAAGTGGGAAACAACATTCCGTCGCCCCACTGCATCACACTGTTTTGCCCCAGAAG